ATATTTTCTGATTTTTTATGGTGAGCATGTATTATTTATATAATTAGTGAAAGAAAAGAAAGCCAGGAGACAGACTGTGGCCTCTAAATATCATTGTGATATTTTTAACCTCTTTTCAATTTATTTATATTTTCTGATTTTTTATGGTGAGCATGTATTATTTATATAATTAGTGAAAGAAAAGAAAGCCAGGAGACAGACTGTGGCCTCTAAATATCATTCCCTACTAAAATAAAACAGGGCTACTTAAAGAAATGGCTGATTCTTGGCTGACTTGGGAAAGCAAGGAAGAAATCCAAGGGGTTCATCAAGTGGATTTAGTAGCCAACCTGGCGAGAATGACCAGCAATGGGATAATTTGTGCTTCAATAATAATAATAACTGTAAAGGATTGAATTCCATCACGTATGCTAAATTCATGCATTGTTAATGGTAACTTTAAAGCATTCTATTAAGTGGGGAGCTGAAGATTCCTTATTCTGATAACTGATAAATAAAAGAATCAATCATTTAACCTACCTCTCTACAAACTGTACCTCAGGGTAACCCCCATTTGGTGAGGGGTAGATTCTCTTTGCAGACTTATTCCAGCTAATAAATGAAGAATGATAGAATTACAGTATCACCATTTTGCAAATCCTTAATGAAAGAATAAATTTAGGTAAAGTTCATCAATGGACACTGATATTACAAAAAGGAAGACACCCCAAGATAATGTATCTCCAGACAAAAGTACACAACACCACCTATGAATATCATTGCCTCCAAATCAGACCCCAATCAGATCAGATTTCTTGATCTAACTACCAGTTCACAGGAAATGCTGGGGACAGAAGAATATCTTAAATGCCACCACGAGGATGTAATCAGCCAAATTCAGAATGTAGGAAATTATGCAGATCAACTGATTTCTTCCAAAAAAAACTGAAAAGAATAAAACCTGTGAATAAAAGAAACTTAAGAGACATATTAACCTAATGCAATGTGTGAATCTTGATCCAAACTAAATATAAAATAACAGGAGACAATCAGGGAAATTTGTATGTTGAATGGATATTCAGTGATACCTTTGACCTTTGGTCAGTTTTGTTTTTTTTTTTTT